GTATAGTCTTCATAAGTTATGGTAAGATAATTATTAGATATGCATAAAGCCCTGTTTTAGACAGTAGAAAAACATAATGAATTGATAATGTTCTGATATATCCAAGGTGATAAAAGATGAATCAAATAATGTTGCAGATTTGGTACTTAGTTCAAGTAGGGGCAGAATATCACACTCTGTAAGCATTACACATAATCTTAAACAAGCATAAAACAATGCTCTAACATGCTTTGCTACACTGTTCCTTCTCTCTCCGAGACAAGGAATAATAATTTCAAAGTAGATTTTCTATTCAAAATCCAACAAACCATCGCAATATTATTTTGTTACAAGAGAGATAATAGTACAAGCTGAAACTTTACCAAATATTCTAAGCTACAGATCCTTCTTCGCTGCACCAAGTTTGTGGCTATGGAAGGTGGAAATGGAGATAGGGTTTTGAGCTATGGTGGAAGAATCAGAACATAGCAGCGCCTTTCTCTCCCTCTAAATTCTGAAGCGAGAGACGTGGCTGAGGTGAGGACTAGAGTGCAATGCTTTGATCTTGATTCAGCAGCAGCAAAGAGAAGGACGAAGAGAGAGAGAGCAAGAGAAGAAAGAAAAAGAGGGAGGGGATGAGACGGAAGGAAGAGAAAGGGAATGGCATTTTTGACTTTTCTCCTACATTTCATAATTGCAATTTAGGACCCGGTCTCTGATAGCTATTTTGTGAATTGAAGTACCCAAATTGCCATTTTATATTTTCGAAGGTCTTTATTTGCCATTTTCCCTAATATATTCCTCTTACCATTAATATAAAAGATAAAATATTGTAAGCCCTTGGATAGCAATTTAGCGCAATAACGTGTGAAGAAAAAGAAAGTGACATTAAATATGCGGTACCAATAGTACACTATCTAAAAGATGTCTCACCTACTTGGTAGTTGAACCATGCATCCATAATGCATTCCATCTCAAAGCCATCAGATAAAAGCCACTTAATTAATAATTCAACTAATTTCAATATAAATCGATGAAGAGAAGTACATTGATGTGATTAATATTATATTATCTCTGGTCATTAATATAAGACCCTGTTTGACTTTTATTTTAGTCATAAATAAAAGACCCCGATCCACTTCGTCTATCATATTTACTCAATTTTTTCTAAGATAGTCCTTCTAATAATTACAGTTCTAGTCAATATACTTGATTAGTAAGAATATTTTAGGAAAGACAACAACTATTTAAGACAAATAACTAGTTCAACTTACTTTCTTAATATCTTAAAATCAGTCAGCTGGCTCTTATAATTAGGACTGGAGGTAGTATATGATTAAAGATCAAAAGAGATTGACACGTACCATTAACAACATTTATAAGCTTACCAACAAGAAAACAATTAATGGTAGGTTTTTGATTTGGATCAAGGATTATGACAACATATTTAAAATGTTATCAAAATATAGCTTTCAATATTTAGCCACTAATCACGTCTTCTATTTTAACATTATGCTCACGGGCAAAAAATTAAAATCGATCCACCTCAACTACCATATTGATGTAAAATATCAATGGCGATCGCAGTATATTTGATTTATGCTTTTCCTTTTTAAGAAAATTAAGTGGGTGGCTGGTATTTATCCTTTTTAGGGGATATATATGTTGTAATGGGAAAATGACAATTTGAAATCAATAGGATAATTTTATTTTATTTAATGACCAACGAATTGACAAATTTCAATCTGAAATCGTTGATCTATGGAGATAGGGATCTGGTATTAACTTCCAAAATTTGACACTTGAATTGTAAAATATTTACACGCAAGTATGAATAATTTACTCTATATGCTGCTATAACTAAATATTTTGAACTAAAATTTAGTTTTTTTTTTTTGGTCTTGAGATGAGATTAAATTGCTATATTGGTCTCAAATTATTATTCTTATTATAAAAATGTCAAGTATTTGAGAAAGTGATAGTGGGAATAGTGGTTTGAAAGATTGAAAATGGGTGCAAGTGCAAGGGACCACAAGGATACCGGCCACTCAATCCTCCTTGACATGCCAAGTTGTCCCAATTCCAAATTAAAACCTTATCATTATCTTAAAAAGTTGTACATTATTTTAGGCTAGTAAAAGGTTTAGATTATTATCCCTATCAATGTTTTTTTTCCCCCCGGTTATTCTCTGTTATTACATTTTAAACTAAACATTCATTCTTTCAACTCTAAAAAAAATATAGTATCTATAAATTATAAATGTTAAAATAATAAATATGAAACAATTGCCTAACTAATTAAAATCGATTCCAACTAATATCTATAACATCTATAATTTAGCTTTAAAAAATTCCAAGTTAAATTTTTCAAAAAAAAATCGTGAGATTTAATTTTATTTATTTTTCTTGAATTTAGATCTTATAAAATAAAAATATTCTCCTAGCTCGTAGAAGGTTAGTGCTATAGCCAGCTAATAATATTTGGATAAGATAGAAGCAACTTGATTTTGGTCAAGTAATGTTGATGGTTAAAATGTTACAGATAAAAAGTCATATTTTAAAAAAATTCTTTAACTAGATTTAATAACAACTTGAGTGTGCGTATGTGACCTTCTCAAATTTTAGGTTATGTGTGTTGGTAAACCTCTAGGATTCATGTTTTAATTTGGATTAGTTAAGTAACAAACTAATACAATTAATGAAAAGGTCATGAGACTGGTGATCAAGTTTTAATTTTTAAAAGTTAAAAACTTATTCAGCACATATATATATATATATATATTGTGTAATTTACTAAATTAGGTAAGAAATTCATGACAGTTGATTTATTTTGCATTTTTATTATGTCATGATTGGAAGAATATTTTAATGAGGCATGGCCACCTCAAAACCACTGAAGCATGAATGACTCAACAAACTGGATTCCCCACTCCCCACTGATCATGGCCCCAATAACGACACGTGGAATCCATAATTCAATTCCATTCCCACCTTCCAAACGCTTGTTTTGTTTTCCTTCTACCTCTTAATCACATTCCACCCACACACTCTAACCGCATTTATTTTATTTTATTTATGCTTTCCAAATTCGTGTAATGTGTTCTTCCCCAACCCTTGCTTAGCTGACCCAATTATGTTCAACTTTGAACCTCCCAATGACTCACCCCACAACCATATCTTTTGTGCACGCATCACTAACCAACAGCAATAAAATTATCTTTATATACTTGTGATTCTATTTATACGGTAGAAAGAGAAGATATTTTTTATCCTATTTATATAACACTAAGAGAAATTTTCTATATAGATATACAATTTTACCTTTCATTTATTATTATGCTGACTTTATTTTCATGAGATATAATATATAAATAAGAGTTGATAAAATTTAAGGTTTTTTTAGTCTGCATGAAACGTGTTTGGAAGCGATTTATAAATAGGAAAAATGTATATATATACTAGTAAATGTCATATGCTCAAACAAGTTTATAGTAGTTTTAATTCAATATTTATTTCGTAAAATTTAACTTCATTTTCATTTAGTCCTTGAAGTTTAAAATCACTGTATTTGTTATTGAAATTTGAAACCATATTTAACTTATAAAAACATGTATTTATTGATATAGTACATTTCAAGGATAAAAATACTGATTTGAAATTTTAAGTATCAAAATCAAATAAATTTGAGAAATTAAAGACCACGTAGTTTTTCTTTAATACTACTATTTACAGCTGACAATTTAATTTGGATTGCATGTTGATTGAGCTTGCAATTTTTTTCCGTGCTTCCACTGCAATTTCAAGTCATTTTAAAACCAATTAATTAATTTAAAATATCAAATTTAACCCAACGATCCGTAATACTAGCTCCGGTCCTAATTATAAGAACTAGTTGACTAATTTGAGGAGATTAAGGAAAAAATTAAGTTAATTAGTTATTTGTAATAAATAGGTGTTGTTTTTTTTAAAATATCATTGATAATCAAGTATATTGACTATAATTACCATTGTTAGAAGGACTACATTGGAAAACAATGCATAAATATGAGAGATAAAGTGAATTGGGGTCTTATATTTATGACCAAAATAAAAGTCAAATGAGATCTCATATTAAAGACCGGAAGAAGTACTATGCAATAGCCTCCTCACTAATTAAGTAGCTAGGGAGAGGTTGCCTGCTTGTCTTAGATGTAATGTGAAATTAGATTAATTTAGAGAGAGACCATTGAGGAAGAACACAGAAAAGATTAGGATGAGTGCATTTTCACCAAAAAGGAAAAAAAAAACAAAAAACAGAGAGATTAGGAAGGGTTCATGTATTAAGATTTAAGAGTAATATGTGTTGTGTTCATTCACTTGGTTTATAAGAATTTAATTAAATGTAATGAGAATGGGAAACTCTAATCATTTAATAAATATAAAATCATCAATTTCCAATTATAATAAATAAATTATGAATGTGATTGGAGTCAATTAAGAACAGAAATCTATATTTTCCCTCCATTCCTTTCTGCAATTTTTTTAATCTAATTTCCTTTCATCCTTTTCCCCCCCACTTATTCTTCCTCCTATTCATATTTTTCACAAATAAGAAAGGGAAAGAGTATCAAATAATATCAATGAAAATCAAATTGGATTTAATTTCATGAACACCAAGTAGGAGAATGAAGATGAATAACAAATATCGATCCTAATTCAAAATGGCAAGCAATTTGTGCATAATATATTCTCGATTCACTGGATCAAAAACATAAGGAATAATATCAAGAAACATAAAAACATACATATCACACACTGCCACGTCAGTCGCGCTCACCCTCCTTATATTGCACCATGATAAATTCATTTATTTTCTTTGAAAAAAAGAAAATAAATTAAAGAGTCAACCGTAGTAACCGTGGACTCTCACCGGTCACCTAAAATAAACACATCCCATAGTTTACACCTCTCTCTGTGTATATATACACGCACGCAACTCCGCATTTCTTTTCTCTCAAGAGGACCACCGGAAAGCCTTCTCGATTTTCAGGTTCGCGAAAAGAAGCCATGGTTTTCACGTCACCGGAGTCACCGAAGCGCCATGCCAACGGCTTCCTCGAGGGGGTATCGGCTGTCATGGCTCTGTTAGCTAGGCGGGCGAGCCGACTGAAGCAGAAGATGAAGACTCCGGCGAGCGACGCCGACTGGGCGATCGAGGTGAGGTCGTCGCCGAAGAAGTCGCCTCTGGCGAAGCCGAAGAAACTTCTGAGCAGCATAAGCAACAAGGCGCTGCCGTTTGGTCACAACAAGAAGAAGCTGAAGGGAGGCAGGCATGGACTAGAATCCGGTGAGGAGGAGTGGGGAGACGGTGGTGTGTGGCAGAAGGCGATTCTGATGGGCGACAAATGTCAACCGTTGGATTTTTCCGGCGTAATTTACTACGATAGCAACGGAAAGCAGATGAACGAGATCCCTCTCAGGTCGCCACGGGCCAGTCCCTTGCCCGCTTATCTCAGTCGGCCTCGGGAACATATGCCCTGACCATGGGGTCCCCTACGCCCCACTCACCGACGCGTGCGGTTTATCTCCAGTGGCAGCGGGGCAGCGATCAGTCGAAGCAATCTGAGCCATCGGAGAAAATCTACGGCCGAGCAAAATTACGTGTCTTTTACTTTCTTAGCAGCCTGTACGGTGGGAAAGTCGATCGCGACACGTGACAGGTAAGAGATATGTGGCTTGCGAATCACCGTAGATTTGTTCGACGGTCTGGATCTCTTCTAATAGAATCACCGGATATCCCCCGCCACCGGAGACACTGCGCGCGTTTCACCCGCCAATACTAGGAAGGAAATTTCGCGCTGGAGTTTTACGGCACGTGGGATCATGTTCCCACGTGTCTCTGTTTTTTTTTTCTTTTGGGGTTTAATTTTCGAGTACTAGCATCCCATTGTATAGAGTATGTGAATGTGAGAAACTGATGATTAAGTTTGTTCAGTGGTTGTATGATATGGTTTGGCCAGTGTGAAAACATGCATCCACATGTACTCCCTCTTTTGAGCTGAGTTCTTTATTGGTTGTGTAGAATTATCAGCATTAAATTCACACTAATTTGAAATAATAGATTCATAGCTAGTGTATCTCTAATTATTTGTATTTTAACATATTTATATATAGCAAAATTAGAAAATGAACAAAATGAGGCGAATGTAGTTAGTGAATTTATTAGTGAGAGTAGAATATGGTTGTGTGCAATGAATTGTGAAAGTAATTAATTATTTTGGTGAATACCGTGCGTATAGTGAGTGAATTGTTTGAAGTTGTTGATACATGGTACAGTTAGTAGTGATATATAGGAGGGTCAAAATAAAACGGCCAGTCTAATTAGAGCAAACCATGGTGAGAGGAGATCCCTCCAACAATTCCTTTTATTAATTCTGCAAGCAATCGTTAATATTAATATTAATCTAAAAAGTAGAAAATTACATAAATAGTTATAAATAATAAAAGAAGATAATACGCATATGTTCACAAAGCCCCCACCCCTAGCTGGTTTAATCAAGACACCCATAAGGGCCACTTAAAGTGTTAATCTCAATAAAAGCTTTTTACATATAATAGTTAGCGAGCCAGTTTAGGCACGCACATATATGTCTGTGCCGACAAACGTGTTTTGTATTATATGTTGAGAATGACTGTCCACAACTAGCGGCTTGCTGATTTTTACACCATTAAAAATAATGGTCACTGGCAACATGATTGATATTCATTAATGTTTGAATTTAAAAATTCAAGTGGAGATGCGTGATTACTTCAAATATGACTTTTTTTAACACAGAAAAAAAACTCCTGTTAAGTATTTTACGCCGATAGAACATTTTATTGTGGTAAATTCCTAAAGAATGGAATATAAAACAATTAGGTGTAATCCAACATATGGTTGGACGGTGTAAAAGTTTTCGACGCATGAAATAAAAGTTCGGTTTCAAGATGCATTAAAAATTAGATTTTTTTCCACCAGAAAAAAGTTATTTTTTTAATGAGTATGGACTTTATTAAGTTCGACAGGTATCTGCATCTAAAATGCAAAAAACTTATTTTTATATTAATCTTGACATATAAAACTGTGATTGTGCCTAAAATTCTATGACTATCATGTTTATTTTATCTTTTCTGGACTGAATTCGTGCACCAAGTCAGGCTATATCTGCCAATCAGGCGGAGATTTCAGCATAAAATTAGTCTCGTTTATGATTCATTATATTTTTACGATTTGTACCATAACCTTTTGTTTTCTCTGAAAGTTTTTTATATCCGATAAAGTTTTTATACCAAATGAATTAAGGTTTTATACATACAACTAAAACAACCCTTCAAGTAGTCCTTACATTTAGAATATTATTTTCCGTCTTTACTTTTTTCCTAAAAAAAATTCAATAATTAAAATTTTCTTTAAGTTGATTAAATTAAATTTCCTTGACCCTAACGGAGGTATGATGGAAATGAAATGCATAGAAATTTGCACATGTGGAAGAGAGAATATATACATGTATATTAATTTGCTAAACATACAGGTATCATCTTATTAGAAGCAGTTATATTTGACATACTATTAGGTATTAAACATAAACACTTTTCCCAATAGGATCATAAGGATTCAAACTTTGATTTATTATATTATGAGAGAGCAATCCTTTTCGTTATGCCCAACCCCATTAATAGAATATATATTAGCTTGGTTGGAGATGTTGCTTTTTTACCGGTAGTTGATTAGGTCCAACGTGGATTAATCTTTTCACTAATATCTATTTTGTCAAATGAATTTGTCACTTTAGCTCTTACCAAACCATAGAGATGAGTCGAAGCTTTCCACTTTGTCAATTTTGCTTCCAGCAACGTTGAATCCGCCATTTTCTTAACATAAAAAAACAACACAGCACACAATACTTAAAGCCTAAAGCTCAAAGTTTTGGAGAGTCAGCAGAAAAGAAAAGCAATTAAAAAGAGATTCGAATCTGAAAATCCTTAATACTAAAAATAATATGACACGTTTTGAGAAACCTTTGAAGCAGTAAAATGGGTTCTTTAGTAAAACCCGATTAATAATTCTACTCATAAATCAATTAATGGTTGAATCGATTTGAATCAAAGGTTAAAAGTATATGATCGGTGTTAGAATCTATAATTGAAGACTAATTGATTATATTCTCTACTTCGAGATGAGAGACCTGGAAACACACAAAAACTTGTTGATCAAGTCCAAAATCGATTATACAAATGGAATTCAAATGAAATTTTGAACAGCTTTGCGTATACGTCATTTCGAAAAATATTGTTAGTTTTTTCATTTGTTAAAGGGATAGAAACACAAATTTACTTAATTTTACTTTTCTGCACTATTCGATTATTTGTTCACATACCCGCCTGTCACTGCATAGATCACTGGAAATTAATTAGGTTGAAGACCATTAATTAATAGCATAACATAAGTCAAGAAAAAAGAAAGAAAGATATCATATTTAAATCATTACAATTTGGCCAAAAAAAACTCTTTATAAATGGGAATTTTAGTATCAGTATTCGTTTGTTTTTCTATTAGGGCATTAATCGGTTGTAGCTTTCGGAACGTGATTTTTGAATCTGTGTAAATTAGTTTGTTTTGGTTTGATTTCGTATAGACTTGTCTTATTGATTTAGGACCCATTTGTTGGGGGCGAAAAACTAATTTTGGTTAATCAAACGTGAAAAAATCAATGGGATAATCTTGTGGTAAATAAAATGAGGTGTGCGTTGAAAAAATAATTTCTTTTCTAATTTTAAACAAATGGACCTTAATGTTTCATCATATACAAATGATAACACCTTTGATTATAAAAAAGATAATCGCGTGGATGCGTCATTTTTGAGATTTTGAAGCCAACACAACTCGCTCATCTTTGTCTTTTTGCAACTTTTGTTTGATAATCGAACAAGTTTCTGAAAGTAACATCTTACAAGTATTGCCTATTCACAGAAAAATTTGTGCTCTCGCTCGCGTTTGTGATGATATGTTCTTTTTTCTTAATTTAACGCCTATCATCATCATACTTTTCCACTTGCTTGTGGGATATCCCAATTCCCACCTCAAATAAATGACACGATAATCTTTAATTCATTATGATGCACATCACATTAAAGGGGAAAACACTTCATTGTCAAAATAAGTGCCACTTCTCTGAATTTCTCTCGATATTGAAGTTAGATGAATAATTTATAAAAATTCAAAAAAACTAGTTAAATTATTTATTTATAAGAAATATTTGGTATTTTTTAAAAAAATATTCTTATTTAATAATTTGTATTATAATTTTTATTTATGAAGACTTTTTTCATATGCGTAATCGATATGGATAGTTTAAGGGAAAAAATTATAATTTTGAAAGATAAAGTGAGTTTAAAATCTTACATTTAAAATCAACATAAACCCTATAACTGGCTTTTATAATCAAGAGTAAGGGTTTAATTTTAAACAACAAAAACAGAGAAATAAAAAAAAAAAAAGGCAAAGAAATAGTATCATAGGCTGAGTTGAAGATAAGAAAGAAAAATGGGATACTGATGCATGAAGCATGAGATGAGGGGTAGAAGTCAGAGGGTTGACTTTGACGAAGTGGGCTGACTTGGACATTTACATAAATAATAAAAGTGCGGGGAATAGTGTGTTCGCGCCTCATGACTGCTTCAACACCCAAAGACCTTTGAACAATTGAAGAGTCAGGGGAAGTGATATACAGCAAACTTCAACTTGTTTAATAGCCCCTTCCTCAAGGGGCAGTTGAACTTTTCCATAGGTCGACGGGTCTTCGTCCTATGTATTATTTTCATCATAGTCACACAACTTCCAGATTTAATCCCCCCGTTAATTTGAGAAGAACATCATGACACATATGTAAATAATAACATTTCTTCCTATCCTTAATATAAGATTTAATTTATAATTTAATTATTACTTTGGAGATGGTAAGGTATTGAGCGGTAAAATATATACATGTATTCCCTCTTATTATTAATATAAAATTTAGTTAACTAATTTTAAAAAATTAAGAAAGATAAATAAGTTATTTTAAAACATTTATAGTAATAGTTTTTTTCTTCAAACCAAGTCACTTGATTTCTAAGGTGATATATAATACGATGATACACGTAAATATGTCAAATAAATCATTTAACATATATTATAATTGAATAATTTATTTAACCTTTTTATCGTCCATAAATTAGGTAACTGAACTTTACATTACTACATTAATATAAAACCTAACTTTTGTCTACAAACTGAAGGAAGCATCATCATCACTGCATGTAAAATATAGAATTGATGACATGCTTCTGTTATGATGTCTAACCAAACCAATTCGCTAGCACGAAATATAAAACAGAAAAACTGTTATGGAGAGGGGTCAAAAGACCCTTGACGTACCATAGCAAGAGAGCCACGCATTAAAAGATTAATATGGCTTCCACAAAAGTTAAAATATTGAGCATTAAACTGGATGAATCCATCCTGTGCGTACGTAAATTGTCTTGATTATATTGTTTATGACTTATAAATAATGTAATATGTTGTGCATTTTATGTTTTATATTAATGAACTGCTGTTATTGGATGTTCATATTGTTTAGAATTAATTTGAATTGAATAATCTTAATTGTTTGTTATTTTTATTTTATAATTGAATGGAACTGTATTAACCTATCTATCCGCTTTTGCTCTCCCTGCGCAAAAACCTCCGCGTTTGTTTCTAACGAGGCTTTACTTTTTCAGGCTTTACTAGAGTCCATGGAACACCACAAAATACATATGGTTTTATTAAAAAGGGTTAAGGTGCGCCTAGCATCTCGAACTGTTTTTTCAGGTGCATCCAGTATCCTAAAATAATTTTTGGTGCATCCAGTAT